CAGCACCCTCACAGCAAAGAAGTTTTTCCTCATGTTTAAGTGGAACCTCCTGTGCTCCAGTTTGTGCCTGTTGCCCCTTGTCCTGTCACTGGCCACCAGTGAAGAGTCTGGCCCCATCCTCCTGACACCACCCTTTAGATATTGATAAACGTTGATCAGATCCCCTCTCAGGCTGCTCTTCTCCAGGCTGAACAGTCCCAGCTCTCTCAGCCTCTCCTCACACGGGAGATGCTCCAGCCCCTCATCATCTCTGTGGCCTCCACTGGACTCTCTCCAGAAGGTCCCTGTCCCTCTGGAACTGGGGAGCCCAGAACTGGACACAACACTCCAGATGTGGCCTCACCAGGGCAGAGCAGATGATGGATCTCAGATCACTGAAGAATAGTTACTGCAGGAGTATTTGTGGTCCCTTCTTTCTGCTTAACACTGACCCACATGCCTCGTGCTCAGATCCATTTCAGCAGATGGCTCCAGAGCTCTGTATATACCAAATTTGTTTAGTTTCATTAACTTTTAACAAGTTGCTGGGCTTAATTCTTTATCCTTAGAGTAGGAAAAACAAGACCCTGCCTGATTCCCAGTGGCAGACCCAGAGGTTAAGAAGCTGGAGAACAGACTCCTACTTTTTTCCCCACTTTTTGGCATATTTATACTTCACCTGCCTTAAAGAGTCCCTGGAAAGAAGGGTTAAGATTGGACAAGGTGCCTGGATTTTGGAGAGCTGCAAACTCCGACTTCTGCAGTTGTAATTCTTTTGGTTTTGGTTTTTTTTTTAATCTTCCTCTGCTTATGTTTATTTTCCCAGACGTGGGTTTTAGCTCTTAAATAACAAGATGTTTATGCAGTTCCTGTGGCTCTGCCTCATGGCTTAAGAACACTCTGCTTACTCTTAATACCAGACTGATCATTTAATTCAAGTCGCATGCCAGTGACATTTTCACCTTGTTTGGTGAGATCTGACCAAGTGCTGCCTTTGGAAAACTTCCCAGTGTAAATCAAATGTGAAGTGAAGCTGGAATTTCCCTATCCCTCCTCCCCCATCTCTTATTAAAGTGCATTGTCATGTTTTTCCTGAAACTTTCCTCTCCTCTCTTTCCCCAATGTAGATCACGATGAAGATGGTGCCAAAAATGCTGTCTCCTCTGGTCAAGGAGTGGGCCCCCGAGGCGTTTGTTATTTCCTTTAAACTGGAGACAGATCCCTTGATCCTAATCGATAAATCACGGCAGGCTCTGGAGAAATATCGTCACCAGGTGGTGGTAGCAAACGTCCTGGAATCCCGGAGAACCTCTGTTATTATTGTAACCAAAGACTCACAGACTCCGTTATCTCTTTCTGATGAGGAAATAGCTCAAGGCATGGAAATAGAGGAAAAAATAGTGAGCTACCTTCAGAGCCAGCATACTGCCTTTATAGAGAGGAGAGTCTGAGGACCGGCTCTGAGTGAAACGGGTGAGATTGTACTAGAGAGGGAGAGGAACTGGAGAGAATTCTCTATCCCGGGTAAATAAACCAAACCTCAGTGAACCTCAGCGGGGAAAGGCTGCCGTCCAGAACCCTGTCACTTCTCTACAGCTCGGTTGTGGTTTGTGTTGCTTTGCTTTCAAAAAGAAAAATACACTGAAGTGAAAACATTCCGAAGGATGATATTTGTTCTAATGGCTAAAGAAGGAAAGGATTTATTGCTTTATTTCTGTCCTGTGGGCTGGGAGAGCTGGGAGGTGGAGAAATCATATATATATATATATATATGTGTCTGTATATAAAAGATTTTCTCGAATCCACCTCTCCAGAGTTTCTTTTTGAATTGTTGGATGGAAGGAAAAGTGCTTTGCAGGAAATAAGTTGTTCTGGTTTTATGTCTGGAGTGGAGTGACAGAGCTGGCCATGGGCTGGTGTTGAAAATGGACAGTGAAACAAGTGTGGGAAGGGATGAAGGAGAAGGAGGTGAGAACTTTGGAGAGAGCTTCTGTTGCGCCGGGGGAGATGCCAAGGACCTGCGTGTCAAGAACTCTGCTCAGAAACAAATGAGCACTGTGGCCGTGTCCCCAACGCAGCTGCTGCACAAAGATTTTCCTTCCATCTGCTGGCGGGGGAGTACGGGGGGATGGAGGGCACCCTCGGTCAGTTGGCAGAGGACACCCAGCTGGGTGG